AGGCCCTGTGGTTTTGTCACATCCGAAGTGGCACGGCATCAAGTGCCAGGTTATTCTTTAAATCCGGTTGGGAATTCAACCTGCTGCCGACTCGATTAATGGGTGTCAGTGGCTGTGAGCAGAGCGGCAGGACGGGAGCTGGGAATCGCGCTGCTCTCCTGTTTCTGGGTGGAGCACGAAGCGTTGGTCATGGACCGTAAAGCTTTTACTGATTCAGTGCTGCTGCCGTCTGCCAAGCACTGCGTGCGTCTCTGCTTCAGCACACGAGCCGTCTCATTAAAGCACTAGATATGAGCAGCCCTCACCCTTGGCTCCTGCTTCCAGATCACTTCTACCTCCTGGGTGTGAATGAAGTAGCCCAGATGTTGGAGGCTGAGGTTAGTCCTTCTATAGTTCTGGGGGTGTACAGATCCAAGAGGAATCAAGGGTATTTCCAAGTAAGAAGTATTGTAAGTTATCCTTGGTATCGTTAGACAGTAATTTTCTTATGTGTGTGTGTTTGATTATTGCTCTAATTTGCTTGAAAGGCCTCTGGAGTCAAGCTTAGGTATTTTTGGATGGTATGATGGATCAAAATAAACATAGTCAGAACTGAAGTAAAATAAGTTAAGACAGAGAGATTGAGATTTAATGTTATTCTTAATAGGTTGGGCTTTTTTCCAAAATAAGTCAATAGCAGCTCAACTTCAGTGGAAGGTCAGGTTTTAAAATGCAGTTTTGTGGCCAAAATCTAATTGGGTGAAATGAATGAAACCAGCATGTGAATGGTGAGAATTTTTTTAAATTACTTTTATGTAAGTTGAAAGAAAAAAATCACTCCAGTTCATTACAGCTTGCTCTTCTCTCTCAGGATTTTATCAACTCTAGAATATCAACTTCAGTAACAATCATAGAATCACAGAATGGTTTGGGTTGGAAGGGACCTTAAAGATCATCTAATTCCAACCCCCTGCCATGGGCAGGGACACCTTCCACTAGACCAGGTTGCTCCAAGCCTCATCCAGCCTAGCCTTGAACACTTCCCGGGATGAGGCATCCACAATTCCATAATTGGTTTATTGTTCTTTGTGTGAGTTTAATTAGAGGCATAATAGAGTGATGCTTTGGCTTTTGTGGATGGGACAGAAAACTTTCCAGGTACTTCCTTTAGTAGAAGGGTCCTGCAGAACGGGAGCACGGAAGAGGTGGTGGGACCCCCGTCCTGGGAGATTTTCAGGACGTGGCCAGACAGTGCTCTGGCTCCCCTGAGCCTGTGCTGGCAGAAGGTGGGCTGGAGACACCCTGCCATCCACTTCAGCCGGTGCTTTGCTGGTATTACAGTATTCTGCTGCTTCGTTATGCCGTTATGGGAAGCAGCTTGATGAAGAGCACTCGGAGGTACTAGTCTAGAGGCAAGGATCCAGCAGCTCAGGACATAAGTATCTGGTTAAAGCAATTCAGTATTTATTAAAAAAAGGTCTGTCTACACTTATGGTTTTCATTCTTCTATTGGTATTTGGTAAAAATTGGGTATTTGCCGCTGATGTAATTAGACATACGGCGAGGCTGTAACTGTCTTATCGCAGTTGTTGATTGCAGCCTACCTCGGGCTAGGAGTTAATATTGTTATTGCCTCCAAATAGCTTTTAGCTCGGGCTTGAAGTCTCAGTATTGAGGCATCAGCGCTTGGAAGATAAAGCATCTTGTGCAGCCGTGCGTGCCCCCCGCCTCCCCACGGAGAGAAGTGCCTCTGAAGGAGGGAGCTGTGCACGTTATAAAAACAACAACAAAAGCCACCCGGCTCTCTGCTTGTCCTCAGGGACTGTAAGCTGTGACACTGTTGGATAACCTTGAACTACAAGCCGGATCCCGTGGCCCGAGGTGAACCCTGCTTCTCCCTGCATGTTGCTTTACCTTCGCCGTTTGCTCAGGCGGAGGAGTTTCAAGTGGAAGGGTTTTGTTGAATCTGCCTGCTTCTGAGATGCCTGAGGTATCCCCACGTAGGAGGCGGCTTTTGAGTACAGGAGACTAATTGTATCTGCCAAAAGGATCTCGGAACTGATGTGTGTAAGCTGCGCAGTGCAGGACTCCTCCATTTAACCTTGCCCTGTAAAAAACTCTCTTTTATCCTTGCGCTCCCCTCCTGCTCTTTCTGTTGTGCTCCAGCCATTAATGGATGCACGGTACCCGGCATTTCTCTTGGATGTTCGCAGCGCAAGGAACAGCTGGGTTAGATGGACAGCCTGAAGTGGGAATACAGCACTGAATGCCTCGCTGCCCTTTGTCTTTCCAACACCCAAATTATTTTCGGTCCCCGTTTTATCGGTGGGGCTGTGAATCGCAGATTTGGAAAGGTATGAAGGCATGTCGCCTTGCTGTAATGCTCAGCGGTGGGATTTGGGCACCTAAATACGCTGTGGCCATTGTGCAGATGTTTGTAACAGTTGTCGAAACCGTGTTTTTGTCTCCTGAGTCTCAAGCTGACCACTGAACCACCCTTTAGTCTTCCTTCACAAGGTCAAGTTCAAACCTGGCTTGAGTAGGATGGCATCCCTTTTGTTTCATTCATTCCACGGGTCTAGTGTTATGCTTGATTAGCAATTACTGCTCTGACGTGGCGGAATTGGCACCTCGTTTCCAACAGCCTTCGAACCCCAGGGAACGAGCTCTCTGTGCTGCTGGCTAATGGTGCATGTCTTACAGCATCACGTGCTCCTTCTCTAGCTGAAGCCGCAGGGTTCAGGGACCACTAATGGTTCACGATAGAAGAAAAGTGCAGAGTAGAAGGTGGCTGTATGGTTAAATACAACAACAGCCACCCGGAAACGTCATGAAACGCTGAGCTTATTTCAGTTGCGAGGCTGAAGTTAGGAGATAACGGGCCTTTTCAGCACTTCTGGGTTTTGTCCGTTTTGCGGCTTTTAATTAAAAGCCCATATTCTGCGTATTCTTATGCCTTTTTTGGGCTGGATGTGCAGCATGAGATAATTGAAGGTTTCAAAAGCAATTACAAACTGTCATATCCTAATTTTTAAGTACTTGACTTTGCAACCTCAATGATATCTCTCTGTCCAATTAAAAATCCCATATAGAGAGAGTTAATGTATTTTACTGCAGGATAAATCTAGGATAACTTTTTGTCTTCAGTCACTTCAGATTATCACCAGGGTAAATGAGATTGCTTTTTTCCCCTCTTTTCTTTAATTGTGGAGAAGATTCAGCGCTCCACTCTTGTCGTTTCAGGATGAAAATTATCAGTGTTACAAAAGCAAGCAATGAATCTTGATCTAAATAAAGGTGTTTCGGGTCTCATGTACATACCTTGCCTTTCTCCTTTCTGCATTGCCTCCTGCAGTGTTTTCACTGAAAAGTGGTTTGAAAAATCCTGAGAGAAGAAAAAGAGGTCTTTATAATCTTTGAGTTGTAATTGCTGGAATATGGACCCGTTCTGTGATTCCACTTGGTACCAGTGAGGTCTTGTTTATCTAACTTGCTCTAATGCCATTTTTTTCAACACATTTGCAATATCTAACCTATCCTACCCTCATTCTACGTTTCTTTATCCCCTCCCTCCCTCTCCCTTTTTCTTTCCCCCACAGCTCTCAGGTTCGTGGGTTGTAGATAAGGCACGCAATGTCAAAAATTCCTGGGTGAAAGTTACATCAGGGATGCATTTTTGGCCCATGGATTGCATGTAAGCCTTTTGGCACAGCAGTCTTATTCTTTTACTGAAAGCAGAGGCTAGAACTCATCTTGCGCAGCCCCGGGGGACGGCAGAGAGGTTGTGTCATGCTGGCTAATCCTGATGATGAGAATGGATTGAATGGAGAGAGGAAGTGGATGCCCTTTGCTTTTCCTGCTTAGTATTTACCATGTCAATTAGTTAAAAAAAAAAAAAAAGAAAAAAACCCGCAGCAAAAAACCCTCAGCCAAAAAAAAACCCCACCCAACAGTGGAATAGAGGAGCTTTACATCATTTTTGTGCAAAAGCATCAGGGAAATCCTTCTGCATTCTGCCGTGCCTCGGGAGAATATGGCATACATAGCATATTGCTGTCTCTGTACCTTGAAAAAAATCCCGCTCTACTTTCAACTGAGTAATCAAAAGAGGATTTTTTTTGTTCATTTTCAAAGCGCAGCATTCAAAAGGAAACCTCTTATCTATTTGGGAATTCAATACACTTTTGGAAACAATAGAGAATGAAATCAGCAACCGTAGGTCTCAGAGCAACGCTGATTTTAATAATGTAAACTTTCTTCTCTAATGAGTAATAAGCAGTTCCATCTTTCACGGCCTTTTAAAATTGCTTTTAGTAAGGGACTGGATTTGGTTTAATCCTTTTCAGTATGTAAAGCCCCAGATATTTCAATCCCTTAGGGGCTCAGTATTTTCGAGCTCTGCTTGAAAAGGCGGAGGAAAACAGCTTTCAGAAATCGACGGAATCTGTGACTGATATAATTTAACGTTATTTTGTTGAAATCCAGAAAATGACCCAAAAGTGTCAGCTAAGAATAAGATCTCTGGCATCCCACCCTGTGGATTGGTAGCAAACAGGCATATCATCTAGGTACAGTAGCTCTTTGTACTCTGACCTAGTTGTTTCTGTTCTGCCTTGTTCCTTCCTGAAAGGTTATTTGGAAGAGGTGCAGGATTTGGTCGATAAAGCGCTAAAGCGGTATCACCTGCCACGGGAAGCGCTTCCGTTTGCCATGGAGCCTAGCACAATACGACTGCCAGCCCCTGAAACTCTCTGCTCTGCCGCCTTGTCACAATGGATACTCTAAAAACACCTAGGGCGGTTTATTCTGGAAGATGCCTTTCCCAAGGAAAGGTAAAGAGAGCCCTGTCTGGGATCAGGCCGGTATTTGTGGGGTGTACGAGTGAATTCAGCTCGAACATGTTATTTTTCCATGGTTAGCAATTAATTATCGCTGTTGTCCTGCCTACACCTGTACGGGTCTTGTGTGGTGTGCATGCTTGATTGTTAACTTAGCCGTGTTTTCTTTTTCCTTAGATATTTCCAGAACGTGCCTTGAAGAAGCTTCCTGATGTAGAAGAGCCCTACAAGAAACACAGTACTTTGGGGCAGCTTGTGAAGCCAAGCTGTCAAAATGGCAGAAAATAAGGACAATAATGTGAAAAACACAGATGTGAGACCCAAAAGCAGCCGGAGCAGAAGCGCAGACAGAAAGGATGGTTACGTCTGGAGCGGAAAGAAGCTCTCCTGGTCTAAAAAGAGTGAGCATTGCTCTGATGCTGAAACAGCAAGTGCTGCGGGAAGATCAGGGACTAACTTGAGGAGCCAGGAGAGGAAGTACAGCTGCTCGTCTATCGAGCTGGATCTAGACCGCTCGTGCGGTCACAGGTTTTTAGGGCGGTCTCTGAAACAGAAGCTGCAGGATGCTGTGGGTCAGTGCTTTCCCATAAAGAACTGCAGCAGTCGGCACGCCTCAGGACTGCCATCGAAAAGGAAAATTCATATCAGTGAGTTAATGCTAGATAAATGTCCCTTCCCTCCACGCTCAGAGCTGGCTTTTCGCTGGCACTTGATCAAAAGACATACAGCCCCTATAAGTCCGAAAGCGGAAGACTGGATAATTGCTGATTTATCCCAGCATGAGGAAAGGGAGGATCAGCTGCGAGACGATGAGATTGCCAATGGGGGAGCGGACTCTCCCTCCCGGTCCTGCGACTCTTCCGACGGCGGTTCCTCTAGGGCTGATTCGAGGTCTGAGTTGGTCACGGGTAAGGGGGTAAGGAGCAGTAAAGATGAGAGCGATATGGACTCCGACGACGAAGTTATAACGCTCTGCACGAGTTCTAGGAAAAGAAACAAGCCCAAATGGGAAACGGATGATGAGCTGCTACGGATGGAAACGCCTCCGAAATACCATACGCAGATTGATTATGTCCACTGCCTGGTTCCAGACCTCCTCCAGATCAACAACAATCCCTGCTACTGGGGAGTCATGGATAAATACGCAGCCGAGGCGCTGCTGGAAGGAAAGCCAGAGGGAACATTTTTGTTACGAGACTCTGCCCAAGAGGACTATTTGTTTTCTGTGAGCTTCAGGCGCTACAGTCGTTCCCTCCACGCGCGGATAGAGCAGTGGAATCACAACTTCAGCTTTGATGCCCATGATCCTTGCGTCTTCCATTCTCCTGACATCACGGGACTCCTAGAGCACTACAAAGATCCAAGTTCCTGTATGTTCTTCGAACCACTTTTATCCACTCCACTGAACAGGACTTTTCCTTTCTCCCTTCAGCATATATGTAGAACAGTTATTTGCAACTGTACGACTTACGACGGTATTGACGCACTTCCCGTCCCTCCGTCGGTGAAGCTGTATCTGAAGGAATATCACTATAAGTCAAAAGTGAGAGTACTCAGGATTGACGTACCAGAGCAGCAAAGCTAGAAACTATTTTTATGAAAGAAAGAAATTGTGTCTAAACAGACAAACAGTATGTTCAGTCTCTCTTCCTTCTAGGGTTTTTTATTCATAGCAATTTGGTTTTCTTTTTTCTTTTTCTGCAGATTGTTTACCACCCAGACTAGCCTCTCTCTAAGGCTTTTTTATCCAAATGTACTTTGAGTCTTCCCAGCTCTCTTTTTTAGAAATGATATTCATTGTGGGCTTTTGGTACTGTTCCTGTACTAGAGTTTTTCGGAGTTTCAGGTAGGCTTTCTGGTGTTTCTGTAGATGGATAGTCTTTAGATCTAAAAATCAGTTTTGAACTTGATCTTTTATATTGTAATTCCCGTACGTTGCCGACATGTTTGAAATAACGCGCCGTTAACTAAAGATCGACTCGTCTGGATTTTCCGCCTCTCTTTTAAAGCGAGCGTTCCAGCCTCCGCGTCCCTCTGTCCGTACCTAATACAGTGAATTCATCCGTTATTGTTCCTAGCAAAATGAAGTTTGAAAGAGGGTTTGATCTTTCTATAAATACAGCAGGGGACTAAACACCGGGGAAGGGAGAAACAATTCAAGTTAAGGACAAGCCACAGTAGGGGAACAGACATGTACAAAACGGTCGTGAATAGATTTTGGTTGGAAAAGAGGATGGCTCCTAAGCCTCCGAGCAGCGGGGAGGGGGAACAGCTTTTCCTTTTGTGTAACAGCAGTAAAAAGCAAACTGCTCGTAAACCGGGATTTGGTCAGTGTCTGGAAGGGATAACGATAGAGTTAGGATAGATGGGACTTGGACTTGGTAACTCTATTTCTCACATATTTCATTATGTGAAATGCCCAGGTTTCACTAGAGGAGCTGCTGCTTCTGAAATGATAAGGCATGGAGTGGGAAGGTGAGAAGGAAAAGATTTCCTTAAAAATCTGCATATTAAACTATCTGATCTTGCGTGGCTGATCCTGAGGTGAGAATGAGTAACTTGCTTACTTTATTAGCGGGAGGGTGTTTTTTTTTTAATAAGTACAGTTAAAAAAAAAAAATAGTCTGCAGATTTTGCTTGTGATGTGAAGCATTTGGTCAAATGGCCTCCTGCCAAATCCCATGTACGGGAAAACCGTTCATGGATAATGCTCCTAAAAGCATTACTTACATTACATGGATAGGCAGATCTGCTGCTGAATTACTGGTGAAATCCCAGCGAGACTCGGTGGATCTGGGCTCAGGCAAGACACCCTCTTGCTTTCCAGGCTGGCCTCGGGGCGCAGCTGCCGGAGGGGCAGGAGTGACCTCGCTTACATGTGCTTTATCTCCTCTCTCAGAACCGGGCCCAGCCCTACTCTGCCAAAAGTATGAGATGATGTAATTGTAACTACAACCACTCCACTGTTTCCTCCCCTTTGATCGCAGGGAACGCTTGTATCCTCTTGAAATGCTTCTGAAACTGCGACCCCAAGCCTGCAGAATTACACACGTGTTTCATATCACGCACGCAGAAGGTCTTACCAACAGTCAGCGATTACTCGTGTGCGTGGGGTTACGTGTGTGTGCAGGCTAGGAGGGGTAGAGCACAGTGCTGCAGGGGCTCGCTCCCACATTGTAGACTAAGACTAAGCAGTGTTTCTATTTGAATCTTTTAATTTCACCTTGTACAGAATCCTACAGATTTGTGGACATCAAATCCCTCTTGCAGGCTGGCTCCTCCGGATTTACCATGGAAGCTTTGCCGTGCAACTGCACCAGGGACCTGCTACCCACCGCAACAGAGAATACCCTTTCCACTGAACTGCTGTCACTGTGATGATGTAAATAGATTTCCAGGGACATCTGCTTAGAGGCCAGCCCGTTTGTTTTCCCTGTGTTTTAAATAGGTTTTGAACCAAAGTCTCCAGGGAGAAAATGCTAACACATCAATCTATGGCGTCGCACATGGATGAGCGCGCTACAGGACGAGCTCTCAGCTGCTATAAATCCACGTGGCTTTATTGATACGCTTATAACGGCTTATTCCAGCTGAGATTCTCCCTCCTCCATATGCAAATGGAAATTTTATGACTGATGCCAGAAAAATTGCCCTTTTTTTCTGTCATCTTTTCCTTGTGCTGCTTCCACTCATCTGACACTGCCTTTTGCATAAGCGGCATTTTATCAAGGACAGCTTCACGCTAGTGAATCTGGTTTTCCCTCTGCCTGTCACTGCCGTTTTCCAGAGTGAGCGAGCAGCGGGGATCGGCTTTGCTCTGCTCTCTTACGCTGTGCCTGTCGCGGTGGAACTGTGACTTGGGTGGCTGCAGTACGAAGCAAAAGCATCTGGTTCGAAATCTGACTTCACGGGGTGACGTCAGGGAGATTTGCAGTCCGCGTGACTAAAACTCTCTTTCCCAAGCTCTTAACTGGGGCAAAAAGCTCATCATTTTAGTAAGATATTACCATTCTGTTCTTATTTTTATCACAAGACCACAAAAAACCAGATTTTGACCAAAATCGTACTTGTTTCAGCAGTTAGCCGAGGCCACCATCTCTTTCAAAATCAGCAAAGGTTTTGTCCCTTCAGAAGGAAAGGCCATGAAAGAACCGTTTTTGGGGGTGCAGTTCCCCAGCGCGCTGTTTTCAGTGTCTTTCTGTGTGCAGCCTGCATTGTTTTGACGTTTGTTGGTGCATCGCTTACCCCAACGATGTCGTGAGCGCTCCACTTTTAGGAGGCCTGTATAATAGAACAGCTGGGGGAAGAAGGTGCAGCACATAAAAATGGTGCCTTTGGACCCTGGGCTGGTTAAGTGCATTTATCTAAAGAAATCATGTGTAGAAAATGTTGATGAATGGGGTTTTGTGGAAGTTCACCTTATTGTTTCCTGGTTCATTTGCCCAGGTCATACCTGCGTGGCATTTGTACCCGATGGCACTGAGCGGTGTGTACACGAGCAGTCTGAGAGAGAACGAGCCATTTCATGATGTGTACATTTTTTTATGGGACATAAGAACTCATAAGGTCTATTTTGCCTAAATCCATGTACCCTTTTTTCTCTTTTTTTCCCTCTTTCTTTTTTCTTTCTTTCTTTTTTCTCTTTTTTCCTCTTTCTTTTTTTTTCCTAATAAGCCATGTAGGAATTAACTGGTTTTACAATATGCCAAGAATTGTCATGCTAAAGTTTTCCTCCCACTGCTGTCATTAACAGTCTTACCAGTGCTGCTCGCTCCCGATAATTCTATCTAACACCTTGATTCTGAGGGGTGAACCAAAGATAACCGGGTCTTGGGACTCCACTGTTGAAGCCCTCCAAAAATAGCCTCAGAAAACAGGGTAAGAACTTCCATTTTCTCAGCCCAAGCTCTTGCAAGACAGAGATCCCAAGTTTCTTCCAGTACCTGAAGGGGCTACAAGGAAGCTGGGGGGGACTTTTTACAAGGGCCTGTAGTAACAGGACAAGGGGTAACGGGTTTAAATTGAAAATGGGGAGGTTTAGATTAGCTATCAGGAAGAAGTTCTTCCTGCAGAGGGTGGGGAGGCACTGGAACAGGTTGCCCAGAGAAGCTGTGGATGCCCCATCCCTGGAAGTGTCCAAGGCCAGGCTGGATGAGGCTTGGAGCAGCCTGGTCTAGTGGAAGGTGTCCCTGCCCATGGCAGGGGGGTTGGAACTAGATGGTCTTTAAGGTCCCTTCCAACCCAAACCATTCTATGATTCTTCAGGGTGAAGATTAAATGTGGAAGTAGGAAAGGTGCGGAGATGCGTGGGAAGACGCGTGCCCAAGGCTACGCAGCAGGTCAGCAGCTGAGCAAGGACATAGCCCGGGGGTGACCCTGGCCACAGCCCCCCTGTCTCAGGGCCCCCAGCCAGCTTTGCTTCAGGAATTGCGGCTGCGTGATGCAGTTTGTCGTGGGGTGAAGGTGGTTCCCTGGGAGGACAGTAGAAACGCAGCGTATCGAACCACTTCCAGTGAGAAAAGAGATCTGATTTTGCTGTTATTTTGGTATGAGGGGGGAAGGTCAGGCTCTTGGTGCCCACTGGACGATCTGCATATACAAGCTGTTTTTACAGGGTGTTTTAAAAAAATTAAATACACTTTCCATTAATGATGTTCTCTGGAGTTTGCTTTAGCCTGAAGTGACTTTTTGCAGCTCTGTAATAATGTCAGTTGTTGGCCCAGTGCCGTCGATACAGAGCGACTTCAACTCCATCAGAATCATTGATGGATTTGGGCTGGTTTGCGTGTCCGATAATTGGAACTCCACATTTCTTCTCGATTTTCCTCTTCCCTGCGCTTGTCTTGATGAAATCCAGGGCACGTTTGGAACAGGGTATCTGTGTCTAGTAGCATATCTGCCTTTAAAGGAATAAAACTGATCATAATTTAAATGCTTTCCTTTTAAAGATGCTGGTATGTTTCCAAAATCAAGAAGAAATCCTTGTATGATGCAGTCCTACGTGGCCTTACAGTAAAACTGACATGCTCTTAAATAATTAAACAGGGGGATACTTTAATTTTGAAAAAGGATGCTGGAGGAAGGAGGTTAAAGGAAGCTTTTAGTCATCTCTACGGTTAGATTTATTGATCCTAGTGATCAATCCCTTTCTCTTTCCTGAATTTAAAGCTAATGGGAGACTGTGGTAAGAGATGAGTGGCTTTTAGTTAAGGTTTTTGACTCTTATAAATAATACAACAAATGTCCTAGTAAGTAATAAGAAATAAGATACTTGCTCATTCTTTTTAAATAGAACAAATGTGGCAAACAAGACTCAGCTGTAATTTTTGAAGTCATTTATTAGACAAATTGCTCTTCTCTACTTCTTTTACAAGGGAGACATAAACCATTATATTATTTATTCATGAATCATAGCCATTAAGATGATAAATCAAATTATCAGCTTCCTGTCTCGCTTTAGTTTTAATCATTTTTTATAGTTCATGCAATATAAAGACAGCTTCCTTCCTATGAAACATGAGACCTTCAGAGACCTTTTTAGTCTAAACGTACATTTCCTTCCCATTTTTAAGTATATCCTAGTGATTTTCTCTGTCAATTTGATCTGCAATAAAAATCCAATAAGGAACTTGTACATTGATTCGATAGAGCAGAGTTAGCTATGAAGTAAGTGATTTTGGTTAACCTCTGAAATAACAGAGTGCTGGAAAACGCAGTTAAAGGATTTTTTTCCTGCCACCCCTAAATGTGCGTGTATCAGACATTTAATAGAGAGAAATCGTGACACAAGCTCACACACTGATTGTAGGACCTTCCTCAAACGGTTTAATAGGAGCTCTGCAGTAGTACGACTTTTTTTATACACTGAAGCTTCTCTTTCTGCTTCCTTCGCCCAGCCAGTACATTTTGCCTCTTCCCATAGGGTGGGAGAGCTGAGGTTACTCGGAGAGCTGAGGTCATCTCGTGCA